CAGCCAGGGAACGAGCACAGCCATTCCGCGGAGCAGGGAAAACGGAGGGGGGCAGCTCCTGGCCACGCCCAGCCTCGGCCGCGAACCGGCCCCCCAGCCCAGGCCGAAGGAACGGCCCGCCATCCAGAGCCCCATCCCGAGCCCAGTGTGGTCCTCGCTTCGGCGTGCACACCGGCCCCGGAACCAGGACGGTCATGGCCAGGATTAGCCTCAGGTCGGGCATGTCTCCACATAATTAGGGGGATGCTTGGACGAACAGTAGTAAGTAGTCAAAACAATAGAAACAGCTAGTCGACAAGTATCCAAAACATCGTCCCCAAAATGTTTTTTGTTTATGTTTAAATTCTCCCCTGTAGAGGGACACGCCTGACTTCAGACTGGACTGGTGTCTGGACAGGGTCTGCTCTGCATTGGCCCACCCAGGCCTCCGCTGTCGTCTTTTGAACTCTCCACAACGGGCTCCCGGGAGTCCCGACCCTTTTCACAGGGTTTTTTTTTTGTTCGAAATCTCGGGGGCGTCCAAGAGGGGGACGTGCCCGACATAATTCCAATCGAATCGAGCTGGAGATATCGAAATGAGCCCCCTGGGGCGCGAGGAACGTCCTCTCCGCCGCGAGCCACCGGGGCCCGAACGAGGCCTGGGGTGCCAGGGAGGCGGCTGACCGCCAGAGGGAGGGGGCAACGGAGGGTTCGGGGGCGGCCCAGAGGGGGGCGTCCAAGAGGGGGGGGCGCAAATCATGGCCGGCGGCGTGTGCGCGGCACAGGGGGGTGGGCCAGGGACGCAATGAAGTAAGAAGAGGCGCCATGAAATCTGGGGAAATATCATGGCCCACGCGGAAAATATCCCCCCCCTGGTCATCACATGTGATGACTAGGGGGGATGTGATCACATCCCTCTTTGCCGCCCCCGGGAGGGTGCCCCAGCCCATCGGGCGCCGGAGCACGTCGACCGATCAGGGCTTGCCAGCCCCGATCGAGTGCGGGCACGCTTCCTCTGTTTCGGCCCCTTAGGGGCCGTTACCCGGCAACAGGACCATCAGAGCCGATGATGTGATGCTTCGAATGCGGGCACGTTCCCTCTATTTCGGCCCCTGGGGTGGCGTTGTCGGGCAGCAGGACCATCAGAGCCTCTGTGGACCGTGGTCAGGCCCCAGGACCCCAACCGGGCCCTGTGATGGAGGCCCTGGGACCCCCTGGGTCTCGTGATGGGTTGCTCCAGGGGCCTCCGTGGCCTCCCTGTCGATCCTGGGGGCACACTGAACCCTTGGCACCCGAGCCGACGCCCCCGCAGTGACCAAACCCAGGCCCCTGGCAGCTCGGGACAGAAGCGGTCGCGACGCGAGCCTGCGCGCGACGCTCGGCGCCAGGGGGCCCGCCTCCGAAGGCCCTGCATGGACCGTCAGAGAAGTGCTCACTGGGCGGAGCTTGCCGGTCAGGAACTTTTGGATAGCGTCGGGGGCGCACTGGCCCGGGTCAGTCCAAACCTGGGCCAGTCGGGCCCTGCAGGATCCTGCAAACTCCTGCAGGATCCTGCAGGGCCCTGCGCCTAAGCCATGCTCCGTGCACCCCTGGCTCGTCAGGATCCTGCAAGATCTAGCGCCCTGGCCGACCCCCGCTTGCATCGACCCCGTCTCTTGAGCCCCGATGGCGTGCCGCGGCGCAGGTCTCGGGGACACGCTGTGCCCTGCGAGCGGGTAGCTTACCAGCCTGGAGCATATCCCTATCCCTATGCTGGGCACCTCCTCACCACGATGCCAATCTTAGGGATTCCCTTATTTTTTGTTTGGCGAATCCCTGAGATTGTCACCGCCTTCTGGCGTGTCAATCTTAGGGATAGGGACACGTTCGAGGCTGGCTAGCGTCCGCTCCGCGGGGCGGGAGGCAGGGAGGAGCTCGGGACGTGGACGCTCGGGGACTGGAAGGTGGATCGCATGTCGTTCCGAGGCGCGGTTGGCCAGAACCTTCCACCATTATCTCTACTTAGGCGATGTTTAAGAAAACTTACGTTTTCGGCCAGAGTCTCGATTATTCTTAACGTTTCAATGTAAATCTTAAGATTTTAATGGACATGTTGGGTTTTTATTCAAGTTCTGAGACTATGAATTTCTTAACCCATGATTTCTTAAGCATTTCGCAGGGTGTACTTACGCCCCTCTGAGCTCAGGGTGAGAAGTCACGTCAGGGAGAAAGGGTCATCGAGACGCCCGCGGGCGCCAGCGACTCGACAACATCGAGCCGACGGACCACGATCGGCCATGGCTGGCAACTGCGCCCGCTGGAGGCCCCGCTGAGCTCCGAGATAGCCCACTCAGAGGCCCGCCTCGAACCCGCGCAACTGTCGCACTCTTTTAAGCCACGCCAAACGCCAGCAGCTCGGAGCGGATAGCTCGATAGATCGAGGCGGGACTCTCAGCAAGAAAGCCTGAAAGCCTCCGAATACGCAGACCTCTAGCGTCGTCCCCTGGGTCCCCGGAACTCCCCGCACCTCTCCTGGGGCCGGGTTTTCGTCGCAGGTCGTTTCTGGTGCAGTGGTCACGGTGCCTCCGGAGGCGGAGGCGGACATCTGCGGAACAAGGCAAGATGGCGGTTTAAGCACAAACAGTCCGCAGGATTTCTGTTGAGCAGGGACCGACCATCCCGGCACTCCTCTTGCCCTACCACGAAATGTGCTGCTTAGAACCCCCAAGATGTTCTGAGAACGAAACAACTTTCTCAGAGCATGAACCCGATGCGTTAAAACAAGACAGCCTCGACCCGAACTGTTCCAAGAACATCTCCTGCAAACCACAGGAAGGGTTCTCAGAACATTCTCGGGTGAGACTACAGGCGAGCCAAGACGCTTCGCCACTGCTTGATCCTGGGCCCCTCGGACGGCCTGCCCCCCCCAGACGGAGGGCCTCCGAGGTGCCCGGAGAAAGGGCCCCGAGGAGCGCCGGCCGGAGTGGCGCGGCGGAGGGCGGGCAGGGCCAGGCGAGAGCCCCGAAGCGATCCATGGGGGCCCAGACCTTTCTGCAGCGGTGGGCCCGTGTTCCACCACCACTACCAAAGCAGGAGAGAGAGAGAGAGAGAGAGAGAGAGAGCGAGAGAATGAACAGATGGAGCATATATAGAGCAAGCCTCACGATCGAGGTCAGAGTCAGGGGCGGATCCAGGGTCAGAGTCAAGGGAATGAAGCGGGGAGAAGCGACAGAGAAAGCGAGATGCGGGCAAGAGATGAAGAATAGGCAAGTGGAGATCTCGGGCGAGGCCCAAGGCGATAGGCAAGAACAGGAAGCGGAGAGTTGGAGATCCAGCACGTGGCCGAGCATCGGACTCCCGACTGGCGCACATGAGCAAGAATCATGTACGAGGCGCCTGAAGTGCGTCGTTGCCTTTCAGCTTCTCCGCCGCCCACCTCTGAACTTCTGCTGTGTCGCCACGCTCCAGAGCTTCCCCTGACGAGCAAAGGGGTGGAATGTGGGAAAAGAGGAGCCATTGAGACAAACACGTCATATGTGAGACACCCGAAACTCGATCTAAGGATCTCATCGCGACAGCCGGGGATGCACGCCAGCCGAGTTCGCAGAGGAATTGGATTCGTTAAACAGCACAGGCACCGAATCTCTGGGCGAGTGGAGCGGACGCTATTGAAAACACCACCGGCTGCACATACCCAGTGGCCCACACTCAAACCACGGCAGGCCAATGTCGAGCGCGCCAGTGCCGCCAAGCGTGCACACGGCTTTGATGGGCCAGGCGGCAGCGCCAACCTCTTCTCGGGGGCGCGCAGACATGGATTAGCGATCCACGGATTTGGCGCGCCCAAGTTGCGGCCGGTGCCGCCTCGCTCGGCGGCGGGAATCCGCGATTTCCCATGGAAACGGGACCCGTCGCTAATCCACACCCCTTGATCCAGGCTTGCGATCGCCTGATCTTCCTCCTCCGTTCCCTCTCCATCCCCTTCACAACCCCGCACCCTCCTCCATTCGGCTCCTCCTCCTCCTCCTCCTCCTCCTCCTCCTCCTCCTCCTCCTCCTCCAGCTCCTCCTCCTTCTCCTCCGCCCTCCTTCTCCTTCTCCTCCTCCTCCTCCTCCTCCCCCTCCTCCTCCTCCTCCTCATCCTTATCTGCCCTCCTCCGCCCCCTCCCCCATTCGGCTCCTCCTTGTCATCCTCCTCATCTTGCGCCTGCTCCCTGTCCTGCTCCTGGCCTTCTCGCCGCTCTCCTCCTCCTCGTCCTCCTCCGCCTCCTCCTCCCCTTTTGTTGGGCAGGGTAGAAGGCGAACGAGTGCCCCCGTAGTGTCAGCGGTGTCTGCTGGCAGCAGGCGGGCAAGACAGGCGCCTCGAGCCCGATGGCCATCATGGATGAGAAAAGACAGGCGGCAAGGAGGGGCTGGCACGATGATGGGATGAGCGGAGCATTTCAACAAGGGAGGGCCAGCAAGGGGGGGTAGCGAGGAGGGCCAGGAGAAGGAAGAGGGCAAGGCAGAAGAAGGAGGATCTATATATATATATATATATATATATATACATATGTGTGTGGAAGAGGAGGAGAAGGAGAAGAAGGAGGAGAAGGAGGGCAATGGGGAGAAAATGAAGGAGAAAAGACCAGACCGAATCAATGCGATCCATGACCGTGAGCGCCTCACACAATGATCATCACTCGGCTGTAGTTTATGATGTGCTCAACATGTGACTGGGTGCTGCTGCGGCGGACGGAACAGGATGAAGGAGGATGAGGAGCGAAAGGAGGAGCACCCGAACCCACGAGGAGGGGGCCGCGGCGGCACGAACACGAACAAGAGGACGGGGGAGATAGGTCCGTCCTACGGTGCAGCCGCATTTGTCGCCACGCTGCCGCGCAGGATCAGACGGAGCGGGAGGAGGAGGAGGAGGCGGAGGAGGAGATGGAGGAAGTGGAGGGAAGAGGAGGAGGCGGAGGAGGAGGCGGAGGGAAGAGAGAGCGAGGACGAGGGAAAGGGGGAGGCGGGGCAGCGGGAGGAGCAGGAGCAAGAGGGTCCCAATCCTTCGGCGGTCATGGCGTCCGAGATCGCGGTGAGCACCGGGTTCGACTCGTCGAGCTGCGCGGTGAAGGCCTCCACCTGGCGCTGGGGCCGAGGAGGCTGGCAGGGAGGAAGGGGACGGAAGACGAGGACAAGGAGGAAGCGGGGGCAGGAGGAAGGGAATGAGGCGGAAGGAGGAGAGCAAGGCGGGAGGAGGGGAAGAAGGAGAGGTAAGTAGGAGAAAGAGGGGAAGATGGGGAGAGAGGAGGGAAAGGAGGAGGAGAAGGGAGAGAAAGGAAAAAGGAGGATGACGGGGAGGAGTTTCTTCGGGTGAGAGGCGGTGGGAATATAAGTCAAAGGGGAGGATAAAAGGAGGAGGAGAACAGAAGAAGGGAGGAGAGCAAGGAGGAGCAGGGTGGACGAGGAGGAGGGGGGAGAAGTGGGGGGACCCCAAGAACCGTTTCTCTCAGGATTCCTTCCCTTCTGGCGACTTCTACACCTGCCCCGCCAGCTAAATCCACCAGCGCGCCAGAGGGAAGCGCGGCGCGGCGCGTGCGCTGCTCCCTGACCAGGACCGCGGCGGCACCCCTCGGTGGTTCAAAGATGGGGTCCTGAAGATGGGGGTCCTGAGAACAACGTGCATCAACAAATGTGGATCTACCCTTGGATCCCTTCCCATCCTTCGGACCCCATCCCTCCGGACCCAATGTTTGAACCACCGATCCCCTCCCTCTCCCTCCATCGCGGCCAGTCCTCCTCCTCTTCCTCTTCCTCCTCTTCTTCACGATCGAATTTGCATTACGCAGCTTCTCACTTTTCCCAAACAGGGCTTGCACCGAGAAGGCCTTGCTTCGGCGGTTGAATGGATTGAAGGGGTCAGCAGACGTTTCACCACGTTGCCACCGTGGCCGCCTCGTTGGAGGAGGAGGAGGAGGAGGAGGAGGAGGGAGGAGGGAGGAGGACGAGGAGGAGGAGGAGGAGAAGGAGGGAGGAGGGAGGAGGAGGAGGAGGACGAGGAGGAGGGAAGGCCGCCCACCGCACCTGGGGAGCCCGCCGACGCTTCGCCACGCTGCCGCCCGCTGCCGCCTCGGCCCCGCCCGCCGCGCCTGGGTGCCGCCCGTCGCCCGCTTCGCCGCCGCCGCCCCTTGCGGGTTCCGGCGTCTCTCTGGCCGGCTGGTGGCCGCCCCGTCGCCGCCCCGCGGCCGCTCGACGCGGCCCGTCGCCGCGTCGGCGCCGCCCGTCTGGGCTTTGTAAAGCTGGGCTGGTCCCTCCAGAGTGTTCAAAGATAGTCAAAACATAATCAGGGGACGATTTTCTTCTGGCATTTTAAACCTATCCTGCACATGTTCAATGTCTTGTATCTTTCGTCGAAAATTCGCCTGTAAAAGGGGCATGCCCGACTTAAGTCTGGACCTGCGTGCCAGTCTGGCCGGCTTGCGGCCGCCCGTCGCCACATGTCACCGCCGCCCGTCGCGATGGCATGTTGGTTGCGGGTCTGTTCGGCCCCCCTCTGGGGATGTGCGCTCGACAAACAATTTTGCCCAATCCCCCGATCCTACCAGAAGAAAACCGAATACACCACAGAAGCACCCCAATCAATGGATGGTAATAAATTGGATCGATCAAGGGATCGATGAATAGATCGACCGGGAACCTGGAAACCCGGGAAGCCGGAACCCACCGAAATCGGCCCGGAACCAATGACCAAGAACCCAGGAACCCAGAACCGGGAGACCGGGAACCCAGCCGGCCACCAAAATCGGCGGGAAACGTTCGCCACATCTGTCAATATCCGCTAGCACTGACTGGGGAATAAGACTATGCGCGCGCACGCGTCGATCAAACATCATCCAAACGCAACTTCGCAACAATCCGGACGAAGTCCACGCGCGCGCGTCGTCGCACGCGCATGCCGATTCCTTCAAAAACTTAAACTGTTTCGCAAGGCTTTCAAAACCCAGCGGCCCGGAAACATGCAAATTCAAAAACACATGGGGTTTCACAGCAAGGATGTTCAAACAAACCTGCGCCCGCGCTTTTGGGAATCCTTAAGAAAACAATGGGTGCATCAACAGAGTCATATCAAGCTACCAAACGGGCCTCGCGCGCGCATGCCAAAATCGCTCGAACGTCCTCGCGCGCATCCTGTCGCAAGAAACAATCGAGAAAAAAACAGAAACACACAAATCGACAACAAAAGCACAAAACGGGCGAACGCGCGCGCGTCGTCGCGCGCGCATGCCGACACCCTTCAAGCATCGAAGGTTCCGCGCGGATTCAAAAGCGAACGCCCCGGAAAAACAGAATATATAACGGCGTCGCAACATCCGTTTTGAACCAACAAAAAAACTAAAACGCGCGCTCGTGCTCTTGTGATTCCTGACGAAGAACAAAAGTTTTAAACGCGCTCATGAAATATTCCAAACGGCCTCTCGCACCGCATGTCGACATTATTCGAACGCCCTCGCGCGCATGCTAGGGGGGGCAAGATCCGTCTCAAATAATACCACGCGGGTCACTCTCAAGCGCTGGCCGCGCGTGCATGTCGAACTCCTTCCAGAACCTTCATCGCCGATGCGAGGGTGCCGTCATCGTCGCCGGCGCGATCATCATCGGCGCCGTCACTGACCGCGCCGTCGTCGCTGTCACCATCGCCACCAGCATCGCCAGTATCACCATCGCGTCCACCGTCGTCGTCGTCGTCGCCATGATACCGCGCCCGCCCAAGTCGCCGACTCGCATGGAAGCGCCCGCTGGGTTGTGCCCAGCGGTCAGCGCCACCGCGTCAGTCGCGCCAAACGAGCTGGCCGCAGCGCGCTCGAGCACGCGCGGGCTAGCGCGGCCGCAGCGATGCATCAGCCAACGCCAAGCACTCATCGCAATCGCCGCCGCATGCTTTTTGCTAACCGAATTGAGGGCGGGCGGGCGGGGTGGTTGCGCGAGCTGCGAACGGAATTCAATTGCACCGCGCAGACTGCGCAAAACACATCGCACCACGCAGATCCACCCACTTTAAGACATGATCCGGATCGACCCTTCCCCCCGCCCCAGATTCCCTGCCCCCGCTGGGCATCTCCTGTTCACGCATGATTGGCCACGTCGTTTGCCATCCCAACCAGGCCACATCCGCCCCACCACCCTTTCCACCTTTTTGCAAAATCAGAAAACACGATGCGGGTGTCGCGAGAATCCCAACACCGAGCGCCCCAATAGAAAATAAAACACACGGCTGTACAGCATGATCTCGGGGACAGACCATGGGATCTTCCTGACATTCCTCCTTCCATTCAACCGAACGGCCCTCCAGCGCGCGTTCGTCGACATCGCCCTTTGCGCGCGATCCGCGGGGGCCCGAACCTGTCAAGTCGCGCCGCGCGGCCCAGCTCGCCCTGCCGGCCGCGCGAGAGCCGAACATATTTCACGAATTTCGTCGGCGACGCGTCGTCGTCGGCGCGATCGACATCGGCGCCGCCATTGGCATTGCCGTCGTCATTGTCGCCATCGCCACCACCACCGCCACTACCATCATCGCGTTTAGCGCTGTCGACGTCGCCGTGATACAGCGCCCGCCCATGTCACGGACTCGCATTCAAGTTCCCACGCGCCAGCGCGGCCTGCGAGACGCGCGGGAAACGCCCAGCGGGCAGCGCCGCCGCGGCCACTCAGGTCGCGCAAAACTATCCGGCCGCCCTGCGCGCCAGCCAACGCGCGCCAGCGCGGCCGCAGCGACGCGCCAGCCAGCGCCGAGCTGTCATCGCATTAGCCCCCGCATCGGTTTGTTTCAAAACAAAGTTGCGGATGGGCGGGAGGGGCGATTGCGCTAGCAGTGGAGCTAACAACCTCAAGTTCGGCAGGGTGAACTGCGCAACGTAGACGACACCATATCCATTTATGTGTATGTACGTGTGTATATATATGCATATATATATATATATATATATGTAAATATATATTAAAAAAAATTACACCATCTGCATTGCACCAAGTGGATTCTGATACTCAGATTGCACCAGTAGGTCGCAACACATAGAGCGCGTTTCATAGAGTGCACACCACATGTTGCAGAACGTGGATTCCCCATTCTGAACGCGAATTACGAACCCGTGCCATCCCAGCCCAGCCGACATCGACCCCCCCCCCCTCGCCCGTTGGAAAAATACCGCGCGCACGTTCGCTCCTCAAGAAAACATAACCATTTTCAAAACATCCCCTGCGACGCAAAAGGGCGCAGCGCACGCGCGTGCGTCGTCGCGGGCGCGCGCCGAAATCCTGCTGAAATCTTGGGCTTCGCGTGCGCGCCCAAGCCGAATGCCCCGAAGGCATAAAACAAGAACGCATGGACTGACTACGTGGCCCTCCAGACTAGACTCACAGTCTCGCGGCAACCATCAGTCCTCCAAACGTTCTCATCCAACGCGACCAAACGGGCCTCTCGCGCGCGCGCACGTCGAAATCGTTCGACAGCCCCTGCGCGCGTGCTGGGGGGGGGGGGGGGGCGATCCCTATCAAATAGTGCAACGCGGGCCGCTCGCGCGCTGCGGCCGCGCGCGCATGCTGAACCCCCTCCAAAATGTCCATCGCCGGCGCGCGGACGCCATGGTCGTCGTCGGCACAATCAGCATCGACGCCGCCTTTGGCCACGCCGTCGCCATCGTCGCCATCGACGCAGTCATCACTACTATCCACATTGGGCCCACCGTTGTCGCCGTCGCCACGATGCCGCGCCCGCCCACGCCACCGACTCGCACTGAAGTGCCCGCGGGCCAGCGCAGCCTGCGAGACGCAATGGGAAACGCCCAACGGCCAGCGCCACCGAGGCCGCGTCGGTCGCGCACAAATAGCTGGCCGCTGCGCGCGCGAGCACGAGCGGGCTAGCGCGGCGGCAACGACGCGCCGGCCAGCGCCGAGAGCTCATCGCAAGTGCTGCCGCATGGACTTTGCAAACAAAGCTGCGGGTTGGCGGGCGGGGTGGTTTCGCGAGCAGTGGAACTGACAACTCCAATTTTTTCCCCATCAACTGAAGCTCATAGATCACTCCATTCTCATGGTGTCACATAGATTGGACATCGAACAGAGCTCCCTTCAAAAAACGAATTTGA